GGGCATTTTTATAATTTAGGCACCCAAATATTTTTCAGTGTTCTATATGGAATATGGTTGGAATGATCACATATTTTTTAGGGAAGTGTGGTTTTCCTAGTAGTTAACCCCTTCACAGTACACTGATTAATCAATTTTTTAATAGTTCTTTTTACATAAGCAACCAAAATATAATTTTGAGTTTTAACATAGGACACACTATAGGCTAAACAAGACTATTGTGTGCAGTGTATAATCAAACCTGGTGCCCCCTATGTGGATGATATACATAACATGGAACAACTTGTTAAGGACTTTACTAAGTCTGACTGTGTAATTGTTTTGGCTGGATCCAATGAGTTTCAACAAGGTAAAATACCAAAAATTAGGGCTATTTGGGATAGAGTTAAATTTTGTACACAAACAAATATAATATTTTTAGGACACCCTGCTACTGACAAGTTCGTTATTGCCAAAAGAATTAATAGTTTTTTTCAAAAATTTTATTCTTTTGCCAAGAAGGTAAATCAGGTATCAGAAGGTAGATTTTTACTCCTCAACTGTCTGATTAAAACAAAAAAAAGGAAAGAAATTCGAAAATATAGCAGAACTGATAAAGTTAAATTTGAAGGAAAAAAATGAAAAAAAATTGATCTTTGTACCCACAATAAGTAGAGAAGAATTCGTTAATGTTGTTAATAAAACACAACCGTCTACCAGGTCCACACCTAAGACTTCCAATTTAAATTTTTTAGAGCCAATCAGAGCAATAACGAATTCACCATAGTTTTAATAAATATGCAGTCTGTTAGAAGTAAGTTAGCTGAGTTGAATATTTTATTAGATGGTTTAAGCAACCCGACAATAGTATTATTATGTGAACACTGGTTGAAACCATGTGAACGGTTAACCTTAGATAATTATGTACTTTTGGACATATTTTGTAGAAAAGCAGGGTACGGGGGTGTAAGTATTATGATTCACAAGGACTTTTATTCTCATTATTTATTTAAAACAGTTGACACTTTTGAAAATCACAAAGAAGAACGCCTATTTGAGTTGTGTGCTGTATATAGTAGTAGCATTAATGTTTATGTTTTGTGTATTTATCGTGCACCATCCAGCAATGTGTCTGATTTTTTGGCAAGGCTCGAATCTGTAATTTCTATTCTCCCTTCTAAATCAAAAATAATTGTTTGTGGTGACTTTAATTTGGATTCCTTGTCTATGGGGGATATTAGCACCATTTTCTTACACAACCTAATTAATTCTTACGGTTTACATCTGCATGTTGACAAACCTACACGTATAACATCCCATTCTTTCACATTAATAGATCATGTAATTTCAAATTTTGACCAAGGAGATGTTAAATGTAATGTGACAAATAGCGCACTCTCTGATCACGAGGCGGTATGGTGTAGTTTTGCAATAAATAAAAAAGAGAGAAGGAAAGCAAAAAGGTGGGGTAGATTGTTCACAAGAAAAAATTATGATAGGTTCACGCAACTTGCTTCTTTGGAAAACTGGGGTGATGTGTTGAGCTCTGCAGATCCATTGTCAGGTTTCCACTCTGTTTTAGCTAAAATTTTTAATGCAAGTTTTCCTTTAAAACGTTTAAAACAAAAAACAAAAAAAAGTTGGATTGCTAAAGGAATAAGAGTTTCAGCAAAAAATTTAAGATGTCTCCACTATATAAGAAAATTCAATATGTGTAATGAATTTTTTGTAAATTATTTCAATAAGTATAGATCAATATATCGTAGAACTATAAAGGCAGCTAAGCAATCTTATTATGTAAAGAGAATTGCGTCTTTCTGTAATAAGCAGAAGACAGCTTGGCAAATTGTAAATGAACTTCGAGGAGATAATAAGTGTCTTAAGGAATGTTTGGATTCCAAATTAAACGCTACTGATTTAAATAAGTTTTATTGCAATATAGCCAACCATTTATCAAGCTTAATAAAAAGTAATTTAAATTTTGAAAACTTTTTAAATCATGTAAATATAACTGAAACATTCTTTTTTGTACCCACCAATGAACACGAAATTAAGGAAACAATTTTGGAGCTGAAGGGTAACAAGGCGCCTGGGTGGGACGGCATTTCCTCTAAAATATTTAACAAACTTCCTGAGAATGCACTTAGGATTCTAGCAGAAGCTATGAACCTCTCTTTTATTACAGGTATTTTTCCCCACTGTTTGAAGATCGCATATTGTCCCATTATACAAGGGTGGAAATGAGGAAAGCCCCTCAAACTACAGACCAGTGGCATTGCTGCCAACTTTATCTAAGGTTGTGGAAAAAATAGTTAAAAGGCAAATCCTTAATTTTTTGAAGAAAAAAAATATCTTGACCACAGTGCAATTTGGCTTCCTAGAGAAAAGATCCACCAGTGATGCTATATTCAGTTTTCTGGAGGATCTTTACATGAGGATGAACGATCGACAGGTTGCAGCGGCAGTATTTTGTGACTTGACAAAAGCTTTCGATTGTGTGAGTCACAGGATATTGCTGCGTAAACTGGAGATTTATGGATTTAGGGGTAAAGGACTAAGTTGGTTTCAATCATATTTGACCAATAGAGTCCAGTCTGTATCTTATAATGGGATAAGATCAAACCAACAGACTCTAAATAGTGGAGTGCCTCAGGGTTCGGTTCTGGGACCAATTTTCTTTTTAGTCTATATTAATGATATTGCAAACCTTAACATTTCTGGAAGCTTTACATTGTTTGCAGATGATGCAACAATTCTCTGGAGTGGTACAGATGAACATATTTTGGTTGAAACCATTAACCACGACCTGTCCTTAATAAAGAACTGGTGTGATTCAAATAAGCTGTGTCTAAATATTTCCAAAACTAATATTATTTCTTTCAAATGTAACCTGGGACCAGTTTATTTGGAAAATCAGATATTAAGTGGCACACCCCAAAGTAAGTTATTAGGTTTGCATATAGATGGTAGATTGAAGTTTGAATGCCACATTGCAAACCTAAATAAAAAATTGGCATCAAATTGTTATGCTTTAAAAATAATTTCAGGTGAATTAGACAAAAATATTACGAGACAAGCATATTTTGCATTAATAGAATCCCATCTACGTTATGGAATATGTTTTTGGGGTTCTTGTGCTAAACAGCTAATGCATACAGTATTCATTTTGCAAAAGAGAGCAATCAGATACATGAACAGGGCCAATTTGAGAGATTCATGCAAACCGCTTTTTGTTGCTAACAATATTTTAACATTACCATCTTTGTTTATTCTTGAAACAGTAGGTATCTCTAATTCATAAAAAGTATAGAAACACATTGAACCAACAACGTTTGTCATCTTATGCCACCAGGCAAACGTATAAAATGTTGTTACCTGTTCCCAGAACCTCCCAAGTACATGACTCTATTGTTTTTAATGGACGTCAACTCTTCAACCATTTGCCTGTCAGTATTAGAGAGATTTATGAGGAAAGGAGATTTAGGAGGGAGGTAAAAAAGTTGCTCGTTGCGAGGGCCTATTATGATATACAAGGATACTTCAATGAAGGATTTTAACCATGATTTAAGCAAAAAAAGCTGTGCTTATGGATACTTTTTACTGTTCTGTGTGCTGTGTGTTTTTTTTTTTTTTATTATGACGTTAAATTGTAAATGTACTGCTTTATTTTTAAATGTAAGATTTTATATTATTTTATTAACTGTTTACTGTTTGTGTTTCAATTTTATAATTATGTAATTTAATGATTCATATATATTTAGACTACGTAAACTAAGTCATATAAGTACACTTTATTGTATTTTTGATTTTGTAGGTTCTGAATTTATTCATTTATTTTTTTATTTTTTATTACGTACCTTTTTCAGCTTTGTTTACAACATTACTTTGTTTAAAACAATAAAGCATATTTTGATTTGATTTGAGGCGACACTAAGTAATACCCTCGCTAATATCCTTACAAGTATTTCAACAGAAAGAGAATACTACAGCAATGCTATTGCTACTGTTAAAAAAAGTGTAACTATTTCTAATTTTTTACATGATTCTAACAAAACTAAAGTTCAAAAATATATAACTATATTAACTATGTAAGTACTTCCAATTCTGTAGTTCTCGAACAAATATCAATACCAATTACAATACTTGAGCCTTGACTTGAGCATAACAGCTGTTAAAACAGAACTATATCTTCATAGATAGTTTTTCCCCGAGTTTTTCTATGCAGGGTTTGTGACATGGGTTCAGATAATAGACAACAGTTCTCTGACGTATTCTAGATACTAGAACCACTACTCAATAATAATTAGTTAATTAAATTAGGTTGAAATAGTGGTATTAGAATTCAAGGTAGAAATTACGTACATAATAGGTGCTAATTAAACCTAAATAATTGCCAAAAGATATTACCACTGTCTATGAAGCAAACAAAATTAATGAATGGGCAAAATAACAGCTCGGAATGTTCTTTTAGTGCTTGCCTCTTATTTTTTGCATGTATTTTGAACCGATTGACTACTTTTGATACCAATTAAGAAAGAGCCGAGGAAAAAGCCTTGTTGTCTACTTATTAGAGTAGGTTGTACTTTAATAAATTTAAATCAGGGCCTTGATTGATATTGATGATTCTTTATTATTGGTGTAGGTATCTCAATAATAGTAAATTTTAGAGGTTTTTTTTTTTGAATACCCTGTAGGTACCTCAACTGGTTTGAAATTTGAAAACAAGGCTCAAAAAAAAGTTTAAGTTATAAGGGAGCAAGGTTCAAGTGGAAAAAGTCCCATCATAGGCTCAAATCACTACATAAATGACGTTAACATAAATGTTCTGAGCTAAAGCACTGCGATGTGACCTTAGTTGCAAAGCAAAGGCAAATAGCTGGTGAATAATGTATACAAATTTGAACTTTGTATCGAGAAATGGGAAATAGAAATCAATACCTTTGAGGAGTTCAATTAAAATCAATAAATCGCCACTATTCAACAATCTAAACTACGGGAACTTTAACAACAAAAATACGAACCTGTAGTAGGACAAATGGCCATTTTGGAGCACAAACCAACGTCTTTGGTACCCTTTGAGGTAATTAGTCCACTTAAAAAGCCAACCCTTCATTGTGGGTTCCACTTGGGAGCTTCCCGATTTGTTAACACCGTCGCCCATTTTAAACGAAATTAACGCGAATTTTCAGGAAAAGGGGAGTCAACTACACAACTTTTTTAGTTTTTTATTACACGTCTCCCATATTGAACCGAGTTTGACAAGAGTTTGTTGGGTAATGTTTTTGTGTCAGTCTAGTCTGTCATGTCAATGTTGGCCACAACAAATGTTTGTCTCTTTCTAACGCGTTTGTTGCTATATGTTGCTACAGGGAACGGCGGACGGGGGAGTGAACACAAAACAAATAAATAGTTGCCAAATTGCCGCAGGACCATGGGCGGAGGCTATCGGGGAAATATTCAATTTAATGAATTCAATAAGTTGGAAATTGTTTAGCAACTGACTGGAATTATAATAGTTCTTTGTATCAGGGACAGCAATTTCCCGTGGGTATTAACACCTGATAATTCCCGTGGTACATAGATAATTTTATTTCCTACTGAATTTACTGTATTTTGCCCATTTTTAAATTTTTATAAAGGAATAAACCATGAACCAAAATTTCTATTTTTTCTCAAAGTTTTACCTATTCAAGGTAAAAGTGGGAGTTATAGGAATCCTTAACTCCCTTGGGAGTTATGATATCCTTAACTCCCGCGCGGGAGTTATGAAATCCTTATCTCCCTTGGGAGTTAAGACCCTGTTTATGATTATCGTAACCAAGGTATTATATGGTTATAATGGTGTATAACCACCTGAGTGTTGAGTGTAGACAATTGCCATATCTTCATTTCCGCAGAAGGGTGAAGGGTATTTTGCTAGAAAGGGCGTATTACAGCTTAGACGAATTTTACAATGATGATTTTTGAATGTAGTGGTTTTGCTTTTGTAATCTTGTAAGCTTGGCAGTCTCTATTTTTTTTTTTTTATGCTGCTCGTTAGTTTTTTATAAGTTTTTTTTTTTTTTGTTGCATTATATTTTATATTTATTTGGGATATGTATTTTAGCTTGTTCTATTATTTTCTGCCTTTTGTTGCAGATTATTTGCGTTTATTTTTATGTAATACTATAGCTAATGACCCGCTGCGTTGCCAGCATGTAAATACATTTTGAAATAATACACTTCTTTTCAAATCTTGTTGTTGATTTTCTATTTAATTATTTTTTTTTTAATCCGATATCATATTCGCTTGCCAGTGAGTTCAGTGACGCATTTTAAGCACTCCAGATCTGCTGTAGAGCGCCCCGGGCTGTTTATAGGCGTTTCAGTGTATCAGAGTTTTACGCAACCGAACTTTTTTTTCGGGATAAAAAATAGCTTATATCACTCTCCTATAGCCGATTCGATTGACCGGATTAGATCGATCTGGTTCAATTTAAGTGAAGCACACTGTGTTCGATTCAAGCTGGATCAGTGCACCCTCATCAACAAAAAAATGATCTAGATCCGAAGAAGTTCACTTAAATTGAACCCAAATCGATCTAATCTGGGTCAATCGAATTCACCTTATATAGAGATACGTGGTATTAATTCAAGATCGGTCCAGCCGTTCTCGAATTCAAAAAATAATAAAGTTACGTCGGTTGAATGCAAGCCTAAATAAATGAAATATGGCAACGTTGTTTCATGCTGTCAAAAAAAGTTGGGTTATGTTGTTATGTAATGTGAATGAGTTTGTTCACAATTAAATTAATAATTAATTCAAAATTAATTTATTTTTCCGAGATGCGTAACCTATCCACAAACCTTCCTTGGGATGACCATAACAACCTACCAAAGTTTCATCGTAATCGGATAAGTGGTTTTGAAGCGCATATCCGGATACCCCGTGAACTTTGATTTTTATATACAGGGTGTCCCACAATCAGCGTTACAGGCCATAACTTTTCTAATTTTAGAAATAAAAATTTGAAAAAAAAATGGACCAATGACTAGTTAAGCTCTCTTCAAAAATATAAAAAAATCTTACCCTGACAAAATCATCCCCTATTCACAACCCTTGACTTTTTTTTTTCAAATGGCACCCCTATATTTTTTTTTATTTTTGAGAAGCTCATGAAATCACAAATTCAATGATGTATAAAAAGTTTGTTTTTCTCCAAACGTCACTTTGTTAACTCCTGTCAAGATGTCATAAATTTGATTTCTATGCTGCTATGCAAATCCAGCGGGTTAACACCTGTCGAGGTGGTAGAAATTTAATTTCTATGCTGCTTGGCAACCCCAGCGGCAGCAAAAGTACTTTTAGTGCCGCTGGAGCGGCAGTAGAAGTACTTTTAGTGCCGCTCGTACTTTTACTGCCGCTCAACCATTCACTTGCCCCCGAGCTTACCCCATTCGTTTGGAGAAAAAATAGCGTGTTGCATACGGAGTAGAAGCACTTTTTTGTGCTTCAGCAGTATTGCAAGCCTCACTACGTTCGGCTCGCAAACCTACTGCTTCAGCACAAAAAAGTAAAGCTTCTACTCCTAATACAACAATATACTATTTTCTATGTTCCGTTGGAAAAAAAAAATCAAAAATGGAAATAATAATAATGGGGTTCTATTTTAAAAAAAGGCAAAAGTTGTTTTTAGGGGATGAATTTGTTAGGGAAATTTTTTTCTATATTTTTGAAAAGGGGTTAATTTGCACACAATTAATGTTTTTTTGTCATATTTGTATTTTTGAAGATAAAAAAGTGATCGCCTGTATAAGGTTAATTGTGGGACACCCATTTTTTTCCTCCCAAGAGACACGGAAAATAGTATATTGTTGTATTAGGAGTAGAAGCTTTACTTTTTTGTGCTGAAGCAGTAGGTTTGCGAGCCGAACGTAGTAAGGCTTGCAATACTGCTGAAGCACAAAAAAGTGCTTCTACTCCGTATGCAACACGCTATTTTTTCTCGAAACGAATGTGGTAAGCTCGGGGGTAACTGGATGGTTGAGCGGCAGTAAAAGTACAAGCGGCACTAAAAGTACGTTTACTGCCGCTCCAGCGGCACCAAAAGTACTTTTGCTGCCGCTGGGGTTGCCAAGCAGCATAGAAATTAAATTTCTACCACCTCGACAGGTGTTAACCTCCTCTGGATTTGCCTAGCAACATAGAAATTGAATTTCTACCATCTTGACAGGTGTTGACAAAGTGATGTTTTTTTGACGTTTGGAGAAAAACAAACTTTTTATACACCATTTAATTTGTAATTTCATGAGCTTCTGAAAAATGCAAAAAAATAATAGGGGTGCCATTTGAAAAAAAAAAGTCAAGGGTAGTATTTAGGGGATAATTTTGTCAGGGAAAGATTTCTTTATATTTTTGGAGAGAGCTTAACTTGCCATTAATCGTATTTTTTGTTTCAAATTTTTATTTCGAAAAATAAGAAAGTTATGGCCTGTAACGTTGATTGTGGGACACCCTGTATATAGATGTAATAGATGTAATATGTATTGTTATTAGGTAATTAGATTTAACGAGATCGCTTTGTCAATAAATTTATGTTATTTCAGACAATAAAGCATATGTAATGTAATGTAATGTAATGTAATGTAATGTAGGAAAGAAATAAAATCATGTATTTAAAATTTAAAGACAATACTTTCACGTGCCGGAAATATGGCAAATTATGATATTTTTTGAAACAGATAGGATTGATAAAGTCCGTTTTTTTTTTTAAGATAATTCCCCAATTCAAAAATTTAGTAGAGACTGTTTTTTTTTTTAAAGATAAAAGTCAAAATGACATTAGGTTGGCAAACCAATGTAAAATTATCAATGCTTTCAATTTTTTTATGTAGAAAAGGCTTGTGTTGCCAACATAGTCACTAAATTTTTGACTTGGGGAATTATCTTTAAAAAAAAAAACAGACTTTAACTTAACTGTATTGCCAACATTAATTTCATTTTGACTTTTATCTTTAAAAAAAAAACAGACTTTAGGATTAGGGATTTTTTTCATTTCAAGTTATTTAAATTGAAAACCTCCGCCCATGGTCGTTCGGCAATCTTCGGCGGCTAAAGGCCGGTTTACATTTTGATTAGTAGCAAGTGCAGGGGTGCGTTCGAAATCACTCTGGGCGTCACACCGAGTGCACACCAGCTATGAATCATTCATTCTTGTGTGCACTCGGTGTGACGCCCAGGGTATTTTCGAACGCACTCCAGGGCTGCGTTCAGATTGAACGTCGGTTGTCGCCCGAGCGCGCTCTGACCGTTCAGATTGCTTTGGGTAAAATTTACCCAGCCGTTCAGATTGTCAGTAGATTTTTACCTGACGACACCCCGACGCACACTTTTGCATCCCATAAAATAGTAAGATAAAATTTGCCCCGCATGCGCGTTTGTGTTATGTTTATGTTCTAACCAATAATAAAGGCAAATATTGTAAATATTTATTGTTGGGAGTTATGGCGAGTTTATCCAACAAATAAAATAAAATAGGAAATAAATTAAAATAAGAATTAGGGGTTAAGAGGTATTATTTTATATGTGATAAGTTCTACCAAAAAAATCAAAATAAAATAAAATAAGAGTTGATTATCTTTGAATTTTCTTTTTTCTTATTTCACAAAAATGTTAGAATCACGAACAGAGTGAATTTTGAAAAGGCAACAAAATCAAAATCAAAGCATCCCATAAATAGTGATGTTATGAGGAGAGAATGCGTTTTGGCCGTTCAGATTGGGCGAATCGCCAGGCACACTCGGAGTGCACTCTCTATCGGGTACGCTCTGCACTGGAAGTCGCCCAGACTCTTCAATCTGAACGCGCCCCAGGTGTGTAATGCTCAATGACATTTCACATGCATTCCACTAAAATGTATAGAGAAATGTAATGTGATGTCATAAGTGCTAATGCTAGTGGTAATGCTATTATAGTGTTTAGTTGTCGAATTGTAAACGGATCAGTCAAGTGACTAGTGTTAAGTGATAAGTGCAAGCTACAAGTGCAAGTGAATCGAATCGTGTTTTATTTTTCGGTTTGGTAATACTCAACACATCAAATTAACATTTGACACTAAACACTGCAGTTAACAAAATGTAAACCGGCCTTAACGTTAAATTGTCAAATTAGGCACTAGCTGAGCCGCTTTCGGGTGCAGAGTGCGAAGCTCCTAGAACACTTCACACGCGTCATACTCCATGCGTTTTGCACTCAAACGATTGAAACCGAACGGGTCAAACTGTAGCCGGAGTACTTTGGGGTAACTCGGGAGTGCTTAAAGGGTGACATTGGAAAGCAGCTCTGACGTCCATTGAACTAAACAAACACTCTAGAACGGGCGTACTGCTTTATGCTAGTGTGCCGAATTTTGATATATGCAACCCAGCAATACAGAGGGATTGTTGTGTCGCTCGCACTCATTGCGATTAACGTAAAATGAAGAAGAGCTTCTTCATCTTCCTAACCTCAATGATCCAAACATTTCAAACAGCTGCTCTCAATAGCCGCCATAGTGCAAAGAGAGATGCAAATCCCTCTTGTTTGTTGTCCTTCCTGGCACAAACCCTTGCGTTAGAAACATTATGCAGCCACCGTTCCAATGTATTTGTTTAGTTCATTGCTGACGTCACACACCTAACCTCACAATGACATTTTTATCCCCCTATCGAAAGTCCTAAAGTGAGGTTGTGTGATTTTTGACGTTGATAGCTAGCGCCTGCATACAAAAATAGAACTTCAAACGCTTTGTTTGTCCCCCCATCGAAGGTTGAATGTGAGGTTATGTGTGACGTCAGCTAGTGCCTATATAATTCCCGTGGGTGACTTGCTTAATAGGGAATTTTCATATTGCCCAATTTTTTTTTTTTTAGATACTTCTAGTGATTAGATATTACATAGTTTTCTTTTTTTCTATTTCAATTTATGCATTGTACGAAAAAAAAATTATTGAAATTCAAATCAAAAATTTTGGCGTGAAAACGCGAAATTTCAAGGTGACAGCGCCCGTGACGTCAAGATTTTGTAAACAACAAACGCAGCAAACGAACTAGGGATGTCAATTTTTTTCAAAAGACCGGTTTTTTCATTAACCGGTTAATTTACTAACAGTTATAACTGCCCGGTTATAACTGATATAAAACACCGGTTATTCCGGTTAACTGGTTGCTCGGTTATTTTGCCGAATAATATTAGAATAATTGCATAATATATATTATAATGTAGGTAACATAACTTAAACAACAACATATCTTAATGGTAAAAAAAATCGGAAACTGTTACATTTTAAAAAGCATCAAAGAATACTTAAACTTTTCTAAACTGGTTATTTCTCTTCTTTCATTTTTAACATGTACAGTTGCGGCCATTGGAATTGGCACAAATTTTCGAACGCACCTTGTCATGCATCAAAATTTGACTTTTTTTAACAGGCCGTTAATGCCAAAATTGTATCAGTTTTAGGGCGGGTATTATAAAACTACTTTGAGAGTTAACTTAAAGTTAACTTCTGGAATTACATGTAATTCAAAAAGTTAACTTTAAGTTAACTGTCAGAGGAGTTTTATAATAATACCCACCGCCTTATATTTGGCGTTCAAAAATTAGTGCCAGTTCCAATGGCCGCAACTTTGTCAAATACACTCCAGCTGTTATTTGGGTAACTATGACGTCATGAATCGTAGTATGTGTAGTATGATGTTCACTGGTCGCTAAAATACGCCTTATGTCTTTTTTTATACCTACAGGTACATGTCTTTTTTCAATACCGTTCATTAGAGAAAGATGGAAATCAACCAGCTGCTGAACGGATTAACCGAAACTGAAATACTAGAGATGGGCACGGGCACTATCGGTTAAAAAGACTGTTGTCGCTTATTCAATATATTTTAAAGTTATGGAAACAAGAGAAAAGTCTACGTGTTTATTTTTTCACTTTCACCGGTTATTAGGTATAAAACCCGGTTATTCAGTTATAACTGGAGGCAAAAAACAACTGGTATTAACCGGTTAACCGAAGAGAAAACACCGGTTTTTCGGTTTTAACTACCGGTTATTGACATCCCTAAAACGAACTCCTGCTGACGAGTGACGCAGTGCTATTTTTGTGTTATTCAAGTGTGTTAAAGTTTGCTTTTCGTGAAAATTGTCGCAATGGATGAAGAATATTGTAAGGGCCTGCTTTTGTAAATTTAATTTCACTTGCAAGTTCCCTATTGACAGGTTTGTATACAGAACCGTGACGTCAAAAAGGTAGCCATCATGGAAGCATTGTTTTGGCGGGAAATTTTTTATTTCGAATCTAGTATTATTTTTTTGTGTAATAAGGGCGGTATCAGTTAAATAAAAACTGGTCATATAAATATTGTGCAGTATAAACTATCGATTTAAAACAAATTGGGAAAATTTTAGTTCACTTGCAAGTTCCCTATTGAGAAACCGGCCCTCGGGAATACTCAGGATCAGAAACGTAGTAAGAGGTCAGGCAGTGTTGCCAGAATTGAAGGATTTCCTTCAATATGAAGGGTTTTGATTTAAAATTTTGACTACTGAAGGATTGAAGGTTTTTATCCGAATTTAAAGGATTTTGAGTTAAATTGTATATTTAGCAAATATTCCAATCATTTTGCCAAAAAATTTAATTTTTATTAAAATAATTTAATTAGTTGCATGAGAAAAAATACGAAACGCCAATTTTCGCTACGCCCTACGCTCATGATAAGGGCTAAATATGAATATTTTGTTTTTTTTTTTAATTTTTATTAAAAGAATTTCGTCGTTCATGTTGAGAGTGTTTTTTTTGGTAAAATATTTCGTTGTGCCGATATGAAGGGTTTTTAGGCTACGGTTATAAAATAACGGATGCGAACAGGCAAATTTTACGTTGAACTGTTTTCCGATAATTCCAATTTGAAAGTTTGATACCGCTTTACTTTAAAAAAATAACTCCTGACGTTATTACCTTTCATACGCGCTATCTGGTTCACCGATATCGCGATATCTCTCTATTGCTATTTTTCGCATAATTTAGCGCCATCTATTGGTACAGGAATTTCGCCAATTGTGTTGTTTTGATTTCGTATTGATAACAGTGACTCTATTAAAATTATGTAAAGGTTTATTTAGTCACTGTAGTATTGATTAAATGCTGCGCCATCTAGCAGAGGCTGCATAAACCAGTTACGGGCTTTTTGGTTGCCCCCAAAATCGATAAAACTTTCAAAATGGCGTAGCCCTATTACTACTTTTAAAAAAAAATTGTCAAAAAGGTTTAGAAATTCAAGTTCATCCAACCCATAGAATTGGCCATTAGTAGTGTAGTGTTGAGAATAGTTTGAAATTGGCGGTAAATAAATTTGTTAATAATGATTTCTTTTAGAAGTTTTCAAATACATTTTAGAAATAATGTCAATTCGGAAGTCCTACGTTCTTGGAAAATGAATACGAAATTGTGCAGAACCTGTGGAAAGACTGGCCAGAATTTCATTAACATTTTTAGGACTGAAGGACTCAAATATAAAATTGAAACTTGTCTTCCTATTCTAGTAAGTTTCTTATTAAATTTTCAATTTGCTAATGCTCCATGCATAATTATTTAGCTACATCATAATATGTATTGAAGGGTAGGTATAGGTACTTGGCAGGCCAAATACTAAATAATACTAATAGTAAATAGTATAGGAGCTGTTTTGTTTAATTTGCTGAAACTTTTTCATAGCAATGATTTGATTCACAACCAATATGCCATTCCATGTAAAAGTTGCCTGAAGTGTCTGCAAAATTTTAGGAAAGTTTGCTTCAAATTACCTACCAAAAATTAAAAAGTGCCCGAATCCTAGAATCCTATAAGGACATCTAGAAGTCTGTGATCTGCGAGGTGATCTGGCCTGGCCACAGCGGATATACAAACTTGTGAGAAAAAAGCAAGAATAATACACTACAGGATAGCTTATCCTCATAATGCCTATGCCTATGTAAAAAAGAAGATCAAATCTCAAGCCCTCTACCCACCACGCCAAAGAACCAGTGATGACGTAGCAGCGTGTCGTTTCTCGCCCTGACTTAGGGTTAACGCGCACTAGCGATTTGTTGTACTGCGATGATTTTGTCGCGTCGCCGCGAAATAGGACTGGTTTTATTTTTTATCCACAGCGATTATTTTATCGCAGAATGCGTGTATGTTCGTTAAAATATTAATGTTCCATTTTAGCAACTAAACAGTCGCGCGACAATAAATAGCTATTTTCTACAGCCGTGCGGAAGAATTGATTTTCCGCACTGATATGCGTGCGGAAAATGATTTTTCCCGCACGGTGCGGTAAAACTTTTATCGCACGCATATCAGTGCGGAAAAAGTGGTCAAAAAAAAAACAAAAATTCTACATTTTTACGCCTGTAGGAAAAATATTGTGCGGAATATATTTTTCCGCACTCGGCTGCTTCACCGAACTCCGCTACGCGTCGTTCGGTGAACGGCAGCCGCGAGCGGAAAAATTCGTTTTCCGTACTTGTTAGGTAAATAGCTATTGCGCGCTTGCCCTTAGGGTGTTTGCACCAGACTGTTTCTATTATGACAGTGTATTTCGACCCTAAAAATCGTTGTGTTCAGTGTTATTGGATATTCATAATCCTAATCCATAAAATGACTGCAAGTTTCCCATCTTTTCCACGTATTTACATAATAAACGCGTCAATGAAGGACTGCAGCTGACGTCACATTCGACAAGAGTTTTCGCATTGCACTGGCGTGGCGGGCAGATTACGATTCGGCAATCCTAGAGTTTACGTTTCTTGTTTCTTGGAATTTACCAAGTGGTAATCCAGTGTCATGACCACCTACGCCTTGTTGGCTGAGCGTTTAAAAACCGAGGTACTGCTCAAAACAAATAAACTAAAGTGCAACAACTGATCTGCCTAGGAATAACAGAGGCCATGTTAACCTCTGCCTCATAGTAGCCTTAGAGGAACTACTGAACATGCCTCCCCTTCACCTTTGCCTGGAGAAAAGAACCAAACATAAGATTTGTTTCTTTGTGTTGTTTGAAGCAACAGTTCCTGCTTAGTGCTTTGGGATGTTCGTTTGTGTTAATGGTAGGGATGCCACCTTTGAAAGTAAGTTGAACCGGAGAAAAAAAAACCCTTATTGAAAAAAAAAAAAATGAAAAAAAAAAATTTACAAATCTGATAACAGATGCATCAGGTACACTCCTTGTACACTCTATCTATTATACAAGTCGGTTGGAGAGGGAGATCCAAGGATATTATACACACTACTGAGGATAGGACAAGCATAGGATAGCCTATCCGCACATGGCCTCTGTCACAGAGATCAAATCTCAAGCCCCCACCACTCCAAAGTACCAGTGATAACGTAGACAGCGTTCCTCGTCTTGACGTAGGGTGTTTACACCACAGGCTATGATTCCGCTCACTTTTGCTTTATGCATATTTGGTTTTGCTACAAAAATTAACATTCTAAAACAATAATTTTTTAGATCTCGTTTGCATCTTCATATTTGACTATTATGTTATTTCACATTAATAGTATATTGTTGTATTAGGAGTAGAAGCTTAACTTTTTTGTGCTGAAGCAGTAGGTTTGCAAGCCGATCGTAGTGAGGCTTGCAATACTGCTGAAGCACAAAAAAGTGCTTCTACTCCGTATGCAACACGCTATTTTTTCTCCAAACGAATGGGGTAAGCTCGGGGGCAAGTGAATGGTTGAGCGGCAGCAAAAGGACGAGCGGCACTAAAAGTACTTCTACTGCCGCTCCAGCAGCACTAAAAGTACTTTTGCTGCCGCTGGGGTTGCCAAGCAGCATAGAAATTAAATTTCTACCACCTCGACAGGTGTTAACCCGCTACATTTGCCTAGCAGCATCGAAATCAAATTTCTGACATCTTGACAGGGGTTAACAAAGTGACGTTTTTCTGACGTTCGGAGAGAATAGTATATTGTTGTATTAGGAGTAGAAGCTTTTTTTTTTTGTGCTGAAGCGGTAGGTTTGCGAGCCGAACGTAGTGAGGCTTGCAATACTGCTGAAGCATGCTGTTTTACCTGGAGAAAACAGTAATCTGGAGCCCAGAGACCATATGTGAAAACCCGTAGACTCCGGGTGAGACCCGGAGAGGAGGCAACACTAGTTAACGGCCATGTACTGACGAGCGTCAGTTGAATTGATGACGTCACAAACCTGAAATATTTTGCGCGCAATTCAAGTTAGTGCGACACAAACAAACAAGCCTATAGGAAGAACTAAACAGATGGGATTAGAGATTCACCTGGGGTCTGCGATGGACAAAAAGGTTTATAGCCTAACCTATCTCAGTAAAAACCCTCGTAAAAACCCAAACAACTTCTCAACAAGAACAGAAGAGACATTAGACGAGATTTCGGACTGCTCACTGGACATTGTCTAGTAAGTAGTAGTAAAATCTTCTGTCATGTCAACCAAATCCATCTCCTGCGTGTTTTCTCGCAGTGACCTCTCTTGCCACAGAAAGGATGACCTCAAATCACCTGACGATGTAATTTGGCTAAAAATTACTTCTAAAAACGTGGTTAAGCTTATTTGAGGCGTGTATCTTAAACCCAACAATTCCAGTTATGAACTAATTAAAAATCTAGCAAATTTATTTGATTCTATCCAAGAGACCCATCCAAACTCCAAGATTATATTCTTGCGAAATTTTTATGTTTATGTCGAGAGTGGCTTAAGTTAATGAAAAAACAACCCATGCTCGAAGGATTGTTGAAGCATTTGCCATTTCAAACGGCCAAACCCAATTGGTAGAAGAGCCCACACGTATTACCGATTCCGTTTCTTAACAGACCAACTTCGTTTTTCCCGAGATTTTCCCTTAGGTACCACTTGTCCTGCCGCCAGGGCCGGCTCCAGACATTTCGGCGCCCCGTGCAAAAGGTATTTTTGCCGCCCCTATCACCGATTATTTTCCTACTTTATAGTTTCAGTACTACCTTCGGTACTACCCATTTGCTAAACTTACTTTTGATTTGAATTTTGTCCATGTTCTTATATGATATATTACCTATTATTTTCAAGTTTTTTATGGAATATTTTGATTACTATACTATTTTAAATAACACAAAAACATAACCTGCAAACCGACCTAGGCAGTGTAGTGGTTAGTGTATTGCTTCGCGGGTTCCGGGTTAGAATCCCGGCTAGGGCATGGTTGCTTGTTGTTTGTGGTGTTTAACCGGCTCGTTAGCTTGGCGAGAGGATGTGAGGGACTTTCTAAGGCTTGCGTGATGTCGGTGGATTCTGAATGGCCGACCATGGATTGCGAATCAGACCATATTAGGGTGGGGGATGCCGAGAGGGATGCATGATAAGGGCCGACCATTTAGACTCTAAGTATAAATGGGAAGGAGTAGAGTCCATGGAAATGATGTACAATAAGCCACAATGAGCTTCAGTGCAGAGCATGGGCTCGAAAGGGTAAAAAAAACATAACCTGTTCGGGTTTGAAAAAAGGACGGTTTCTGGGACGCTTCAGAACAATTGCCCAGTGTAACCGACAACAAAATGACAACGGCTCGGCTATCACAAATTTCAATAATAATTTGCGCGGGTTTGAAAAAAGCTATATTTAGTCCATAGAACTGTGCTCAGATCGTTTAGAATTGATCAGAGTTTATAAAAACCCGAACATGTTTTATTTTATTTCTTTACAGAGCAGGCGAACACGAAAATTGATAAAATAAATCATGAAGCTATTGTAATTTGTAGTGTGGTTTTTTATCCAACAATTATCCCCGAGATTTTTGCCACCCTATGATTTTGCCGCCCCGTGCGGGGGCACAGTCTGCACGGGTTCTGGAGCCGGCCCTTACTGGCGCTACTTGGACACAACATACAAGAAAATCAAAAAATGGAATCATTTTCGGCCCGCCCAAGCAATATTCGCTTTGGCGATTTTAAACCGAAACAGAAAACTGTAATATCGATCTCTACAGTCAGCCCTCCGACTCCTAGTACTTGTGTCAATATTTTCAATTGTCAATATCAGTCGTGTATTAGCGCTCAAATGTGTATTTTACGCGATGATACTACTACAGGATAGCCTATCCTCATAAGGCCTGTGTGGAACAAATTCCCCCTTCCCCCCACCAAATGACAATACTATCCAGACTAGGCCGGAAAGTAATCACTTCTTGGCCTAAGTAATCCAGCCCAGGCCTAAGGCTGAAAAAGGCAAACTTTCTCAAGTAAAACGCGTTCGGAAAGTATGTACTTTCAGAATGGTTACCGTAAAACCCTATTTTAGGTAGTTGTTAGCTATCTTCTATTAACTCTCCAAAAATTTCTCGCCTACGAATTTGCCATGCGCCATTTTGCTCATAAACCCCCCTCGTCAAAGAATTTAAAAATTTGAAGCTTCCGATGCCCATGGTGAAGGGAGTCGCTGTGGTCTAGTCTTGTACCAGGGCCCGGTTTTGACTTGCTACGTCCCTGGTATTTAGATCTAAAACTATAAGGAAAATTCTTCTGCAACTTGACACTGGGAAATCTTGTGGTCCCGACGGCATTCCACCAATTGTCCTCCAAACTTGCGCACCCAGGAGAAGCATTGGGCATCTCCAAGGCTTTTGAGCAGGTTTGCCACAAAGGTCTCCTTAACAAACGCCCATCGTATGGTCTTCAGAACAAATTTTGCCATTGGCTGAGGAACTTTTTGGAAGGCGGTATCACTGCATGTGCTTGTCTTCTAATACACTGACTATAAATGCGGACTCAATACTGTTCCCAAAACTATTTTCCATTTTTATTAATGTCACAGTATTTTCAAATAAGAAATCTTCCGCCGATAATAACCCAGTTTTAAGGATGTCGGGGCAAAATATTTCTATCAATCCCTCAGGATTTCTTCTTGGTGCGACCCCAGCGACACACACTTTTCTTGGCATGACCATATACCTTTGATTGCCAAAATCGCTTCTCAAAAATTAGGTTTTTCATTTCGTGCAACGTGTGAAACGTCTTTACTTCTGAACTTCTCCTTTATAGGGCTCAAATCAGACCCTGTATGATATAATGTTCCCACATCTGGAGCGATGCTCCCAAGGATTCGTTGGCTTTATTAGATGCAGTATATCAAGAGCAATAAAAATAACTGATAATTCAACTCTCACCGATTCATTGCAATTTCTCGAACATAGACGCAAAGTGGCCGACTTGTCATTATTTTATCGCTATTACCATGGTAGATGTAAAGACGATCTGGCCAGCCTCATTTCATCTAGGAGAATTTATTTAAGAACCAGGAAGAACCTCACAGGCATCCCATTTGTATGTGGTAAAGTTGGCTAACCTGAATACCTCTAAATATATTCTGCCCACCTCTGGAACTCCTTGCCGCCTAATATTTCCTGAAGAGATCATTTCCTCTGTGAATGCCGTTCTCAGTTTATGTTTTGAAGGCTGAAATACCGGGAGCAAGAATAACGCCCTAAGACGTGAGCACCATGAAGCTGACTTGGCAGGCATTTTTTATCTGACAAGCCTACAAATCTTGGACACCAACTAGAAATAGTCATGCACAAATATCTGAAAAAGTTGCAATGCTCCAGTGGCTGTTGTATCAGTCCAAAACGACTCCAGATGCAATCTATAATCTGATATTATTAAAGATTGGATCCCTAACAACTCTTGATGATTGAAGCGCTTTTATTATAATAAATTCGTACCTATACGAGTCCATACGCGTTCTCCATTAATAAAATAGGTACATCGGGCTTACTTTCTGTGAGTTACGAGCTGTTCCAAGCGGCACTGCATTTACATAATAATGTAATTTATTGTTTAATATTAATACACAACAGAGCAAACTCCAAATGGTATTTTATTCATACCTACTTATATTTATGACGCTTGAAATTGCTGTAAAATGCTCTGCTGGCAATCAGCCAAAAAATCGCTTAGCAACTTCTAGTCAATTAAATATAGGTATCTTAGTGATCTTCTAATTTCTTGTATTTTTTTTTTAGGTAACTAATCACTCTCTACTTCCAGACACTATCTGCCCAGAATGTCAAACATCCGTAGAATCTTTCTACCTTTTCACCAAAAGCTGTCTCGAAAACATTCTTATAGTCGAAGCCCAACTCAATATTCAAGAATCTTGCCTAAAATCAAAAAGACGTCAAGATCAAGGTTGTACTGCCTCATTACCTTTACCTAACCAGAATACGTTTGAACAGAATAAGGAATGTTTCAATAAGATTTTTTTACCTAAAACGAGTATATCAAATGGTTTAGTTGATTATGGAATCGAATCAGCTAATGATAGTTCTGAAGAAAATGATGAAACTGGGCAAGTAGTATTGGGGGAAAAGTTGGAAGGCCAAAAAATTCTTAATGATTACATAAAATATGGAATACGAAGTAAAGCTATAAAACGCAAAAGTGATAGCTTTGAAGACTGTGATTTGTATGATACTAGTGAAACAGTAAATGACAGCAAAATAAAATGCACTAAATCAAAAAATATTTACACAACCAAACAATCACTGGAAAATAATGAAGTTCATGAGGAAACCACTTTAGATGATTTGGAAACTAGAAATAATGAAGAAAAAAGATGTATATTGTGCAACCTTCAGTTAAATAATCTTGCTGCTTTAGCTCAACATTTTATAGAAGTTCATTCTAATGAATCTGGTTTGGAGTCTATGGGAGAAACTTGTGAAGAAAAGCTAAAGAAAAGAAGTATCCCAAGCTTAGTGAAAATTTCTGATTTGAAAAATGGCGAATTAATCGGTAATTATTTCTAATATTTCGTTAACTTAAACTTTCCCAAAAAAAACCCTTTTGGATTCACCTAAACGGAAAGTCTTCTTTGATTATTTGATTTTCACTCATCTGTATTTATATTATACCTAAATTATTTTCTAGAAGATGAATCGTCCAACAGCACAACAAATATCAGCTGCCCAAATTCCAATTGCCAAACAACATGTCAAACAAAATCGCAACTTTTCAGTCACCTCTATCAAAACCACTTGGACTGGACCGCATATTTATGCGGAATTTGCCTTGAAGAAACCAACTCTGCCTCAAATTTGAAGCTCCATGTGTCCAACTGCATAAAATCTCAACCTCCTACACACCTATTTTATTGTCAAGTTTGCTGTTTTGGCGATAATAACTGTAGAAGCATGGAAGATCACGTTTTAGTGCATACTTTTTTGTGGGAGAACTGTAGGCTTGAGAAGAGGAACTTTGATCCTCAAGACTATATACAAATTAATGATGGTTTTGTTGCAAATGGGACATCGCCTGTAAAGAAGTTTTCTTGTGTCTTGTGCAACATTTCTGACTTTGCCGATTTTAAAAGCTTTACTTCCCATAAAAGGGTTATACACAAAATATTCCATTGTGATTTGTGTAATAAAGTGAGCACAGATATTTTTTCAAAATATAATTTATTATAATTTAATTTTTTTTAGTTTTACGGAAGGAACTCACATCTGTGGAAACATGTGAACCGTATTCACAAAAATCATCCAAGCATTACCTGTCAAGTTTGCTTTAAAACTAGTGCTTCCAAATATTATTTGTCACGGCATTTTGCTAAACTTCATCAAGGAAATGTGATTAAAAAAGCAAAATGTGATTATGTTCAAGAGGCTGTCAAAAATCTGGTAAGAAAATACAATAGATTCCCTAGATAGAGTATTAGTTGTACTGTCTTTCCATAAAAACACAGTGACATAGCAGAAACGTTCCAAAAACGTCCACCAAAACATCCTTAAGTATTTCCTATTTTTCTGGAAACATCCCTGGGATGTGTATCAAAACGCCCCAAGTACTCTATGTAATTGGTTAGATGGTAAATGGCGAGCGATATATTGATGGTGTTTATTTCCTTGGAGCTGCTACCTATAAAATTGTGGAAGGGTCTATTCGCAAAAAAGAGAAACAAACTATTGAGGTTTACTAAATTATCTTCCATTATACACAAAACCAAAAATTAAAATAATCAAATATCTTTCAATTCTGACAGCCACTTCTAAATTTTCCCAATTCAAATTATTTCACATCCGTTCAAATGTCATTATTACAGATCAGGAAATATTCATAAAAAAAAAAACGCCCTACTCCTACTATTCTCAATAACTTACGTTTACCTATACATTTCAACACTTCCGATTCATTCCTATTAAACTACCCTTCACCTACATCTATAAATTCTTAAAAATTCCTAAATCCTTTACTGACTGCTTATGCAAAATCAAAATAATTATTTGTTTATTAATATAGGCATTACTAACTTATTCATAAAAAACCTTACAATAATTTCTACATGAAAAATAAAAACCCTAATTCAAAATTTCAGCAATTAAGGCCGCGTTAATGGCCGCCATGTTTAAATTTAGTTTTTGAAAATGACGACTGCGTCACTCTACACATAGGGTTCAATATTTTATTATTTGTCCAAAACAAAATCTGTTTGTCGGTGAAACACTTAGTGACAGAGAAAGACAAATATACAATTATGATGCTCCCAATGTAGCTTTTTTGCCGTGGCGCCATCTACTTGAAATTGCTTGAACTGTTTTCACCTTCAAAATTCGTTTTAAGGTCATCTCAAAAAATCCGCAATAATTTCTAAAATCCTTTGGCATAAACATTATTTAATATATTATCAACAATCTCTACAATCAGCTTTTTTTAGTTTTTCGTGGTTATCAATAAAATATGCTTTTCACGGATCCAAGCTTGATAAACATGCAAATATGCAACCACCAACACATTTAATTGTTTTGGTGGTTGCGAACATGATTTTTGAATTTAAAGAAAAAAGCTGAATATCGAAAAACCAAAATAAGGAATTGTAGATAATCGATCAAATAATGTTTATGCCAAATTTGAGCCAATTCTGATGTGCCGTTTTTTTAAAAACTTTAAAACAAGTTTCGAATAATCAACCAATGACAGTTCAAATATGGCGGCCATTAACGCGGCCTTAAGATTATCAATGTTTCTTCATGAACAACAAGTTTCATTTCGAAACTTCCCATTTACATAAAATGGTTTATTTAAATCAGAACAATTACTTTTTTCGGATTCCTAGCCAACAAACACAATTATTTAATTCTTATTAGATTCGTTACTATAGCCCTTAAATTTCAATTTGGACATTCCAATTTAAAATTCTTTAATAATTCCTACTCAAAATCGATACTGGTTAAGTGCATTATAAATTCCCCTTTTAATTCTTTGCAAAATTAATTAAAATGTCATTATACTTGAAGGCAATTAAATTTATGCAATAATGTTCCATAGTCAAAACACTCGAATTATTAATATTTATGCAATAAAGTTCCAAAGTTAATTCACTTCATAGTCATTCATCAATTATAAAGTCAAGAAGTTTTACTAGTCAAAATCACTCAAGTTTTTAGGCATTAAAAATCATTGTCAATTCACTTCTTATCATTCAGAATCATTGTTAAAAGTCAGAAAAACATTAATAAACACTAAAGTACTTACATTTAAATTGTCACTCGATTAAATACTTAATTAATTACTCAAAAATTTCAAGAGCTCGCACATAATATTGAACGAATTTAACTGTTCTTTCTTTTACAATTTTCCGTTACAATTTCAAAGACCTTTTCCGAGGCCTTAAAAGAAACTTTCTGCGAATTTTACTCGGACTGACACATTAGGTACTGTAGACTTTAACTCAAACTAGATTGAACTAACAACTCAACTGACAACTGCCTTCCACTTCTAAAACCGCCTGTTTTATATTTTTCGATTCTCCCCTAAAGTATTATTAATTATCCACCAAAATCGTCAATAGGCGGTCGTTTGACCATCAAATAAATCAATTCTATTGGCCAACCCAGATATTATCAAAATTAATGATGCAATCTATTGGAAATTTTTGTCATTTTTATTTGTTTAAAATCGGATAATTATGTCGCAATATCCTGATTTATAGGGGTCAACACTCATTGGCTCAAGAATGTGGGGACAACACAAAGAAGACCGACACATGTGAGCCATATATCATCGATTTAATTACTTGGCCTCGCTTTTAATAAGTTCATTGATATTTAATTTAGGAGATGACACAGGCTGGGTGACGAAATAATATAATTTCGAATGTATTTGGGGTCAACGTAAATTTGTTCCATTTTCAATTTATCGATACTGATTTGAAATACCGGAAATTCAGTTTTTGATTATTTGATTACATTTAATTTTTACAGTAAAGACATTATTAATATCAGGACTATTTTTCCGGATCATTACAGATGTTGCAGGCAACATCCAGGTTATCATTTTTGAAGCCCTTAAACCATCCCTCTTGGATGTTTCCAAGGCGATGTGGGGTATACATGTTATCTCAAAAACACTTGAAGTCACTTTTTAAAAAAAAACACTAATTTATTTCAAAATAAAGGTTACAATTATATTGGACATTAACTTAACTAACTTAATAATGACGAATAATGACTAAAGAGACAGGATCTTTTATATTTTAAAATAATATGTTGATCTTGCCGTTTCTTTGGGAGCGTTGCGACGATGGAGCAATTCTTGGCGTGACATGTTCAGACAGGATAACTTACTGAAGAAGCGTCTAAACTTTGCGATACTTTGTACGATCGCGGTGATGAGACGCGTCTGGAGGTCATTGTAGTCGTGAAATCTATATAACATACATACATCCGGGGCAGGTATATGAAACATAATACTGTTATGGTGGAGGTTATAGTTATCTAAGGGTTATTTATTATCAGAATAAGATCAGCGCTGTCTGATGCTGCTTAAAGAATTTTCCTAATAAAATGACTAATTGAAACTAATTTATAAATATTTTTATATAGGATTCAACAGATCCGGAAAACTATAACAGTTCTTACGATGACAACTATCAAGCTAGTCAATCGGATGATAATCAAGACGATGATGATTCAATGGACAAAAAAATACCCCCAAGAGAATTAGATCCATCCCATAACCTTTACACTAATATTCTCACAAACTACAGTCCTAAATCTAAAGCCAAAGGAAAGTTCGAATGTTTGAAATGTTCCAAAAGATTCCTGAAGAGTATTCTCCTAAGGACGCATAATAAAAATTGCAGGTAGGATTATCTGATATATTTTAATAACATGACCAAATTAATACCTTTTTAGGCCTAGATCTCAAAAAGACCTACTAACAAGATGTAAAAGTTGCTCAAGAGTATTTAAAGATAGACAAAGTTTAGCTAAACATTTAGCCAACTACCATTCAGATTATCAGTGTGAAATTTGCACTGAAAAAGTACAAAGCAAATGCGAAATTGTCAGTCACATCCGTTTCCAGCATCCTTCCAGTCATTTAATATGCAGTGTTTGTGAAAATATATTGAGAAGCAAAAAGGAACTGTTGGAACATTTAGCTGACCACGAAAACTCATTTATTTGTCAGTTTTGTGGAGATGCATTGGACAGCAAAGTGAGAAATTGATTGAATGAGCTTAAATATTTGAATTACCAATTTTCTTTGTAGGTTAAACTTAAAATGCACATTTTGAGCCTCCACAGGAAAATTTTAAATCTCAGCTGCGGCATTTGCCTGAAATTATTTGAGACGCAATTTGTTTTGCGTGAGCATGTCATGATGATTCACAAAGGGCAATTGATTCCTTTTATCTCATGCCCTATTTGTGGTAAAAATTATGGTTCCAAGTGGAAGACTTATGATCATGTTAATAAGAGTCATGGGAGATTTTTTAAAGCTTGCAAGGTAAGATTTAGACCATATCTTTCTCAGTGTAATTTGCTATCTATTTCCTTTTTGTGTATGTACCTTCTTGTAGTTCTAATTTCTATTTCTACCGTTTCTTCTTGTCTGGCAGATATGTTTGGAAATATTTGATTCAGAAAATCAACTCGAAATGCACGTAAATTCTTCCCATCCAAACCAGCCAGCTTCGAAAAAGTCCTCTAAGCTGAACCCTGTTGCAATTATGCGGCAAGCCTCAATCAAAACTGAAGCTTTACGAGTTGAAAAATCTGATACTGAGGAAATTGAAAATAGTCTAACTAGTGGGAGTGAAGATGACGATGAAGAAATTGCTGTACAAGACAAACATCCGCACCTTCTCGATCAGCAAAGTAAAATTAATTTGTTTGAAAAAAGGCTTTTTGGGAATAGTATGGTGCTTGGAAAATGTCCTGTTAATAGTCCTTCTGGTAATTTCTTTTAGTATTTGATTCTTCCATTTTATTGGATTAAAACATAGTATATGTATCAAATATTCTTTTTTTCACTAAGTAGGTACTCCTTTTTCTCTTTAGGATATGATAGGTTTTGCTAAGAGGTGAATTCTTCTCTAGTGTTTACCTATTTTCACCTTATAGGTTGCCTTTTTTATGTATTTTCTCCCAATCATTTTGTTTGTTTGGTTATATGTAAATATAGCAGTGCAAGTCAGAGGGCTATGCAAAAGTTTTATGAATGGAAAAATTAGTGTTTATTAAGTGCTAATTAGACTTTAGAATAATTTAGTGCTAATTAGGTGCTAATTAAATGCCAAGTTACCAAATTTTGTGCTCTTGTAGTTTCCGAGATGTGGCATGCACTGCTTGTTACCCTTTGTCCTTTGATTGAAGATAGCAGATCCAGGAAAGTGGTAGGGTGATATAAATTATGAAGAAAATTAAATGCTACCGTTTACCTGAACAAAATCTCTATTCACAGTTTTTTTTGGCATATTTTTTAAAAACAAGGCGGTGCACTGCTAACTTTATACAACCTTAATAACGTTTTCTCATGAAAGATGGGGTTGATGGTGTTGATATTGGAATTATTTAGTGCTGATTAGGTGCTAATTAAATGCCAAGTTGACAAAGATTGTGCTCTTGTCTAATTACGAAGATATGGTTTATAGTCCAAGAAAGGGGGATCTGAAAAGAGGGTTTACCTCAACATAATTAAAAGTTAACATTTTTTTGGGGGGATCGGTCCATTTTCATGTGCTAAATAATATTAAGTTTGAGACCTTGTACTTCCATAGGGTTTTTAGTTAGGGGTGTTTTTTAGGGGTAATTTGCAGTTTATGGAGAAATCTGCTCAAAGGCATGGTCCAATAGCAAAAAGTTTCAAATGATTGTCGTTAACTGCAGTTTTTTGCTTTAAGAAACTCCGCGACAGCACCCCTTTATCTTCTATAGTTTTTTCCGCAGAGTCTTGTTTTGAATAGTAGCATGATTTTGTTCAAGGTCACTGAATCAGCGTTTCGCCTGTTTGCGCGCATTTGATGCAGCAGCGGCCGAATGCATAATCCGATTTCAATTGTTCAAGCGCCACATTATTGCTAATGAAATGCTTTTTTGTTCGAATTTTTAGCTTGGAAATTAAGCCAGCACGGACTTGCCTAATGTGCTAGAAAGTTGTAAATTGCATCGAAAATTACCCCTTTCTTGCATTCACTGTAATTTCTAAACGGGGCCAAATATTTAGTTACAGTTTTCGACAATCGGCAGCCTATTTATTACTCTCATAATAACCCAGCGGATTTTTTTTCCGTTAATTAGTCAATGACTTATCCGTCTGAACAAGTCCCGCGGAATTTTTCAAAAGTAAAATAAAAAAAAATTGTCGCATAGCGCTGAAATTTGGTACGATGGCTTTATTTATTGTTCTCATGAATATACTGCAATTTTAATTGCTTCACATGACTGCTGGCTTAGCTATATTTATGAGAACAATAAATAAAGCCATTGTACCAAATTTCAGCGCTGTACGACAATTTTAATTTTTTTTGATTTTTTGAAAAATTCATTCAGGCGGATAAGTCATTGAGTAATTAACGAGAAAAAAAAATTCCGCTGGGGTATTATGAGAGTAATAAATAGGCTGTCGATTGTCGAAAACTGTCACTAAATATTTGGCCCCGTTTAGAAATTACAGTGAATTCAAGAAAGGGGTAGTTTTCGATGCAATTTACAACTTTCTAGCACAATAGGCCAGTGGCGGATACAGGGGGGGGGGCGGGGGGCGCGCGCCCCCCCCTGAGAGCCTCGAAAACTACTTAATTTTTTTTTAAAAATTATAGATAGAAAATTTTTATAAAAGAATATTCCAATAAAATTTAATGGAAAAATTTTCCAATAAAATGTTATTGGAAAATTTCCTAAGCCACACTATTGTTGTTGTAAATAGATTTTCATTTGTTACTTTCGGTTTTTTGATATGTGCCAGGGTTTTCCAATTTGGACACTTTTGATATAAAACATCAATTTCTGAGCGAGATACAAAAATATCAAGCCCCACTCTGAGTCTCAAATTTGATGATATCTTGAACCGTTTTGTGGCTAGGGAATCCAGTGACTTTCTCAGTTTTTTTCTATTTGTTCCCGAATTCGAGATATTAACCAGAGTAGAGTTCGATTGTTTTGATGGGACACTGGACACCCTATAATATAATAATATCTGATTGGATAGCTCTGCTTTTGCTGCTTTCAATGATATAAAGTTCGATCGGTTTATCTCTAACAGTTTTCCAGCAAAAAAATTATGTGTTTTTGTTAAGAAACAATGTGTTAGAAGAGGACTTTATATCTATAAGGAAAATGAGATAGGTCTCCTTCTCATACATTGGCCACGTTCACCAGATACAAACGTTGGTAAACGGTTTGCGATTGTTCTGCGGAACGCTACGTTGAATTTATGTTGAAACCAAACATGTTTTGCAAACGGTCGCCATTTGTTTGTGTTGTGTTTATAATTTTCAACACTGTGTTTTGTGTGGTGACCTGTCATTCATAAGATGACGTTTTATCATTGAAAAGTCGAACCGTTCAGCAGAACAAAGAGTTTACCCAACATATTCTGTTGTTATTTGTAAACTGTTTATAATCTGTTTTGGTTCTGGTGAACGTAGCCATTGCCCATTGTTTTTTCTGATTGGAACATCTATAAATTTTTTTTCTAGAAAACTGTTAGAAATAGACCTATTAAACCTAATATCATTAAAATAAGCAATAATAGAGCTATCAATGAATTATTAATATACAGGGTGGGGCACGAAAAACTTCCCACCCAGAGTTTCTGAGGTGTTAGGTGTTTAATCAAAAATCGCTCAGACACGTCAATTTTTGTTTTTTGGGGGACACATTTTATTAGTATTTTCACCCCCTACACTGAGAAAAAAAATAGGCTGTTATAACTAAAAATTTAGTAAATGTAACTAGAAGCGTGGATAGCATAGAGGACAGGTCAAAAATTTAGTTGCAACGGCAAATATGAATTAGTTCGTACGACATACGACTTTCGAGGTTATACCTATCAACTAATATTTTAGTTAGCCGCAAACATTTATTCCTAACCTAAAAACTTGTTGCAGCAACTATTATTTCATAGTTGTCCGGAGTTATTCAAGCTATAATTTTGTATTGGTGTAACCAGTATAATTATCGATGACAACTCATTTTCTTAGTTGACTTTGCCTTCTTGCTTAGCAGTTGCAACTAAAAAGTATTTGTTATAATAGCATGGAAACTATTGTTTGCCCAGCGGTTCTGAGTCTACGGAAGGAATTCGGACGTAAATGTGCGATGTTGCACGTTTAATTATAAAAAAAGCGAAAATACTAGGCATGAAGATAGTTCATTTGAAAATCCCTTTGATTTCCAAGGTACAACTAATTTGAAATGGCTGCAATAACAAAACCAGAGTGGTCGTGATAACTATTTTTCTAGTAATGACTACTATAAAAATTCAACCCACATGCTTAGTTAACGCGTTTTTCTCAGTGTACCTGTCAACCTCTAAGAAGTGGGGACTACAGGTACCCCCAAAATTTTAAATGGAAAGAGGGGTCGAGTGATATGTCACTTGGTAGCGATTTTCATTAAGATTATATCCCCCCAAGTTTCAAGTTGCTACTATTCACCCTGCTGAAATGGCGGCATGTCAAAGTTAGGATAAATGCTTTTTTTCGATAATCTAAACTGTATAGTTTTTACCTGTCACATCTAAGCATAGGTACAGGTAAAAACCACACAACATTTTTCCATTGATTTTTCCCAACTTTGACAAGCCGTCATTTCGACAGGGTAAATAGTAGCAACTTGAAAATTCGGGGATATAGTCTTAATGAAAATAGCTATCAAATGACGTATCACTCGACCCCCCTTTTGATTTGAAATTTTGGGGGTACCTGTAATCCTCACTTAGAGGTTGGCAGGTAGAGGGTGAAAATACCAATAAAATGTGTCCCCCAAAAAACAAAAATTGACGTGTTCGAGCGATTTTTAATTAATTATCCAACATCTGAGAAAACCTGGGGAAGTTTTTCGTGCCCCACTCTGCATATACCTAGGGCTTTTATTTTTTAAAAAATAAGACAAATTCTCAATTTTTTCGAGAACGTCATTGAATTCTGCTTGGAAAAGTACCTCCACAAAGTTTATACAGAAATCAATTATTTTCATCATTAAAAAAGTTGGGAAGGTTTCACCTTATTGCTCAATATCGAGAAACATCCTCTAGCGGCAAACCGGTTGCGGGTATCAAAAGGCGGTTTGCAGTGTTTACACCAATCAAGATTTCATGAAATTTGAGCGTCAGCAGAGTGGAGGATTAATTTTTTTTGTATCTGGCTCAGAAATTGACGTTTCATATCAAAATTGTCCACCCTGTACATTCTTTAACGTATAAGTAAAGTAAAAATAAATTTTCAAGAAATCATTGTTGATAAGATAATTCTAAGCCTGCGCCCCCCCCCTGAAGAAAATCCTGGATCCGCCACTGCAATAGGCAAGTCCGTGTTTGCTTATTTTCAAGCCAAAAATTCGAACAAGCGATCTACCCAAGTAGTCTATTTGTTACCGGTAAAGTCCGTTATGCAGCCATACCTAGGTTTGCCTAGGCAAAGTCCGCATTGCCAAGCCACTTAAGGCAAAGTCCGAAATTATTCGATATTTCGGACATTGCCTTCACTGTGGTACGACAATCTTAGGTCTGCTAGATGTGTAGCAGGCAAACTCCGAAATAAGTTGATATAAGGCGGACGGTGTGTTCAGTTGGGTTTAATCGCTATTGGATTTGTAACCAAGAAGACATATGCCAGTAGATATGAGTGGCATGGGTGAAATGAAGGCGAGATTTTTGGAGAAATTAGAGAGCATGCAGAAACCAATAAATTCTTTTCACATGCCATCGATAGAGAAGTACGAGGCATTAATTA